TGGGATTTTCCTCTGTATTCTGTGAATATCATTGGTTAATAAAGAAACTGTCTTGAGCCTGTGCGGGGAATAGAGGTAGGTGGGGAGAACTAAACTGAATGCTGGGAGAAAGAAAGGCAGAGTTAGAGAGAAGCCATGTAGCACTGCCAAAGCTGGACGGAACTTTACCTGGTAGGTCACTGCCAAGTGGCAATACACAGACTGCTATAAATGGGTTAAATTAATATAGAAGAATTAGTCAATAAGAATCTAGAGCTAATGGGCCAAGGGGTGATTTAAATATTACAGTTTCTGTGTGATTATTTTGGGTCTGAGCTGCCGAGCAGACAGGAAACAAACAAGCAGCCTTTCTCCTACAATTGGGTACCAGTATCATATCCTTCCTCATATTGTCCCACTGTTTTGGACATTCTGAAACCCTTATTTTGTCAGATGCCAATGGTCAGTATTGAATTTTATTCTGGATATCATCATACACTGGATATAGACACAGTTCCTAAGACGGTGTAATAATAGATTCTGATGTCAACGTGATAGAACCTGGAATAACCAGGGTAATATATTTCTGAACGTGTTTGTAAGTATAGTTCTGAAAAAGTTTAACTGGAAAATGAAGATCCTGAATGTGTGTGGTGCCATCATGTAGGGGTTTCTTTGCCTTCTAAATGGGAAAAAAAAAGGTGAATTGAACTGACCACTGGAATCCATCTCTGTGCTTCCTAACTGAAGATAATTTGACTAGTTGCTTCATATTTCTACCATGTGATGGACTGTGAGGGAAAATAAAATGTGGGAGCCCACAAAAGTAGATCCGGTTTGCCTTGACTAAAGGTCAGAGAGTTCAGGCCTATTCCTGCTCCTTCAAGGTCATTGAAAAGAGGTCTGTTTTAAGGTGTGGCTACTAACAAGATATCTTGACCTAGGGTATGGTTACTTGGTATTTTGGGTATTAAGAGGTCTCACAAAGGTGGATCCACTTAAATTTGACCAAAGGTCAAAGAATTCAGGCCTATTCCTGCTCCTTCAAGGATATGGCAGGAGGTTTGACCCAGGGAGTGGCTATCTATAAGATACTTGGCCGAAGTTGTGGTCACTGCATGTCCTGCCTAAACAAATAGGTTTAACTCAGGGTATAGTTGCTGGAGATATATATATATATATATATATATATATATATATATATATACATATATATATATATAGTAACCCTGTTTGCTCTTTCTGGCGTGTTAAAGCAGTATTTTGCCCTCTTCCCTCCCCCTTTTGGATTGGCGTCTATAAGCATGTGAAAAAAAAACATGGATGAATTCAGTATTTGCTGAATTGCCCTCCTCACTCTATTCTATGTTGCTTTGTCTCTGTTCCTTCTGCCTAGTATTTCTAATCCACATTCTAACCCTGGAATGTGTGAACCCTGTTGAGGCTGGACTCCAACAATAAACCCTTCCTTTTCCAAGTTTATTCACATGCACACACACACACACACACACACACACACACACACACACACACAATATGCAAGCTACTTTTTCATAGTAGTGAGGGAAATACAGAAAATTGATCACAAAGAGTGAGCTGCTTCTATGACAAACATGGTCCTGTGATTCATAGTCTTTTAGAATGACTTTGAGAACAGAGGGGTGATGGTGCTAAGGTGTCTCTAGGATATTGTCATCAGAGCTTAATAGGCTGTTCCCATGGGAGTCTGAAGAATCAAAATGCTAAGATATTTATAAATTTGCCCAGTAGATGCCTGGGTCATGCAGTTTTAAGGGATAGCCGGGGACAAGAACATCCATGTTCTATTCTGGCAAAGAATGTGGACTCATGCTACTTGTGTACTGTCAACTGGATTGAGGCTGAACTGGAAAGTAATGGGTAATTGGCAGAGAAAGGTCTCTTATCCTTTTCTCACAGGAAAGAAAGCAGAAGCGCCGGCCAGTGACTTCTGCTCTGATCTGTGAACTGCAGGAAAATTTATCTCAGTAACTGCTTTGGTAATGCCAATGACAAAGAACAGTCTTTCGTTTCTTACTGTTTGCAGCGTTGGTTGGAAAATTATCACAAAGAGAGTCTGTAATATGCACATTATCCCAAAACTCCAAATTCCAATGTTCATGAGCAAAGTATACTGGACCACAGACTCATGAGGTCATTTAACCTATCACCTGTTCATGACTCCTTGTGCTAAGATAACAGAGGTGAGAATTTTCATGACATACCTTTAGGCCATCAACATCAGAAATATAGACCATCTTTCTACAATTACAAGATTGCCAACCCTTACTATAGCACCAAGAGACTTTAGCAATGAACTCCTGGGACTAGAATCAATAATATCTCTGGTCTCTACTGAAACCATACTATCTGATGAATCTAGCTACACGGTGGTGTTACCAAAAAAAGGAAGGATTCTTAGAAACCAAGAAATAAAATAAAATAATTTAGAAAGGTAGATGAATCTCAATGATAACTGGGAAAATGGAACAATTAACCATCAAAATTTCTCAAGCCAGGAAATGCTATTTGATGCCCCAACCTACTTTTTAAGAAATGATATTTATTATCTTTTTTCCTGTGTAAAGACAATACATGTTTACGGTACTGGAAGAATACAAAAGTATATACAGAACATAAATTAGTCGTACTGCCATAATTAGATATAACCACATCTAAACACTGCTCTTTACAAACTTGGGATGCTACTGTACAAAATGGTCATGAATACCTCAAGTGAGACATTCTCCAATATTCTCATATAATCTCTGAGAGCATGTTTAGTGTTTGGCAATGTTGCCCATGTGATTCGATTTTAATTACTTTACAGTTGTGTTATTTAGTATAAGTAATACAATGATTATCAAATTTGCTTATTGCTTTGCTTCACTCCTCTGATTATTTTTCAGTTAGGACAAATTAATATGATAAAATTTTTCTATAATTTGGACAATTAGGGAGGAAACAGAAGAATTCAGAGACAAAGACTATGTTAGTTAATATGGTCTCTCCATCTCTTTGGGGATTTTCAGATTTCCAAACCATACCAATCTGGAAAAGTTTCACCCAGTATACGAATCATTAAATGGCATATTATATTTAACCAGCCATGATATTTTTCTATACACCCAGTTTTAGATTTATACCATTACAGCCCGGAAAGCAAGCCCCCCTCCCTTAGAAAAAAGAGACAGTAATCTTATCAAAAATATTTTATTTACAAAAAAACAATTATACTATACATCCTATAATGGAAATACATTGAATAATTGCTAAAATAAATACAAGGCAATTAATTCAACTTTTTATAAGAATGAGAAAATTTGACATTTGAACGTTATCAAAGCTTAACTTAGAACATAAATAGTTAAAAAAGGCAAACTCAAGTTTTAGTCTCATTTATTGTCATGGTGTGTTTGCTTTCCACTAGCTGTCCATGCAGTGAGAGTCTGAGTTTTTCAGAACTTGAACAAACCTCTTCGAACTCACAAGGTAGAATATGCAGCGCCTTTTTAGTTCAGATGTAACAGAGAAGTCTGCATACTCAGGAAGCAGATCATTGGTTCCGTATCTGCCTCACCGCAATGCTTTTATCCAGCTATTCTTGTGTTCTGAGTGTGTGCTTGATACAGGTCTACACAGCACCAGCCACAAGGCAAGAGAGAGCATGTGAAAAGTCAAATTGAATGATGGAGGCCCCGTAATAACTCAGTTAGTCAAGTTTGGAGGAACTGGGTCATCCTTTTCTGTATGGACCCATTCTTAATAATACTAATAATTACCTCTTAATGTCATTTCTACATGTGGATAATTTTAGGCAGGCCAAGTACAGAAGAGACGAGAAGACCACCTGTACAATTCAGAAAAATACCCTTCCTGAGAAGTAGAGAGGACACTTGGAACATAAATGTGCCAGTTCTGAATTGTGTTTTATATTAGTTTAAATTCACTCAAGTAAACATCGTCACCATGCAGTGTGAATCGGCAAACTCGGACACTAAACAGGGGAAATGCATCTAATGTGTGTATGTTATGGTCTGCCACATACAGGCCACAGAATAAAACTTTTGATGAATTGCATTGCAGTTGTCCCAATCACAGAGATTTTTTTCCAGCTTTCTATTTTCCTAGGCCTACACAAATACTGTCCTCATCTTTACAGATGACCAGTTTTTGATGTTCATGTTTATTCAGTACAAGGTGCCCAGTGTTTTCTTTCAAAGACTAGCATTCCCTTTTGAAAAAGAATCATAATCAAAAATTGCACTTTTCCACCCTTTTGGCCTCAACTTTAGTGATTTGCTCTTGTACACGTGTGAATAATGTATTATTACTTAAAAGCTGACATGTATCTTGGCCCTTTCTAGAAGAAATAAAAAGTTAGAATACTGAAAGTTTACATGTTTTCACAGAAAGAAACTATTCAATTGTAAAAGGTAGAGAAAGAGAGAATCATTTTATTCTTTCATGAACATCGGTCAACCAAGTTTCTTCACATTTTGGGCAGGTTAATTTTTATAGTATGGATTTTTTAGAATCTATTTTATTATAAAAAAGAAAAGAAAGGTGTATTTTGGCAGAGAAGTAAAATATAGACTATGATGTGAAATTTGTTTTAAAAAATGGCATACAAAATGTAAAAACACAGTACAATTATATCAAAATACAGCATAGCCAGTGGCCTTTAAACTTTCCTTTGGTGTTTCATTTGGTAGAGTTAAAGACAAACATTTTTCCTTAAAAAAAGAAAGAAAATCATCTATCAAAACAGTCCATAAGTTAGGTTGTATAGGTTGAGAAAAAATGTTCCCTTGAGTTTTCAGAATCCTTTTCTTCCATGGTCACCCACATAGAGCATGGCTAGTGAGGTATATAGAACAAACACTGTCAGGTGGATGCACAGTAAGGGAAAAGTGCATAAACAAAGAAGTCATCCCATGTTCCTAGGAATTTCGGGTTAAATCTGAGTTTGTTCTTACTGATGTATCAATTTACTTTGGCAGAATCAATAATCAACCCATCAGATGTCCTTGTTCAAGTCCCAGCAGCAGTGATATGTCTCCTATGAGATGCCACAATACTGTACAACCCCTGGAGGAGCTAAGGTGTGTGTGTGTCCCCATGTGCGACTGCAAACATCATCGCGAGATCATACGTCAAGCACCATGTCGTACTGTTGTCCCTTCTTCCTCCTGCCACACTTATTGATGAGAACCACATACAGAGTCAAAAGCATGACCCAGTAGCAGGCGTAGATCAAGGTTCCCACAATGAGAACAGTCTGTTTGGATTCGGAAAATGGCTTTTTCGATTCCTTGTAAATGGTGAAAATCACACCACCGAGAAGAATTGTAAACCACACGGACACTGGAATAAGTCCGATAAAATTGACAACAATGGTTTTCCTTCCAGATGTGCCCCACCCTGCTTTGTTTATGGTTGCAATTGCGAACATCTTGGCCGGAAGTAGACTTGACATGTATAACACTGAATAGAGAGACATGAAGACCATGACAATGTTCCCTCTAAGGCAGCTGGCAAAAGATGACTTTATGAGACCCACTAGCTGGACAGTTAACAGGAAGAGGAGGATGTTCCAGATTTTACCCCTGTAGAAGAGCTGGATGACTGTGGCAATGAGAAAGAAAGGAAAGAATCCAGTGATAACGGCTTCGTAGGTCATCCACAAGTGATGCTTGTGAAACCACATGGCGTTGTACAGCCACTCTCGGAAATAGGACTTGCTCCAACGGGTCTGCTGGTTCAGCCATCTGAGATACTCTATAGGTGTTTCCGTAAGGCACTTGGACCGAGCTGTGTATTTTGTTGCATAGCCCAGACTCAGCACCCGGTTGGTAAGATGCCTATCATCACCAAAACTGCATTGGTTGCCCATGAATTCCTGATTGTACCAGTCTTCTACAAACTCATGCAGCAGGGAGTTTCTGTACATTCCCAGAGGACCGCTTATGCACTGGACACACCCAAAATAAGACTGGCAGGCCCTTTCTATATTAAAAGCCATCCAGTATCTCACACTGCTGAGGAAGGAGATCCAGGAATCATACTTGTTTAAAATCTGCAAGTTAAAAAAATAAATAAAAGTTAGCTTTAGCTTAATAATACCAAGAAACCCCAATGTATACTGAGATCACTGCTTGGCATGAAATCTGTTCCTCTGTGATTCTCTTTTGGCTTCCTTCTTCTTTCTGATATTCTTTTATCTTGTATTCTTGGGTTTTGTGTAATGAAATAAGCTTGATTGGTTGGGTGTACATGTATGCATATTAATGCACTTAGTTATAACTTTAAGCATCAATAATCAATCCTTAAATGTTCCCAGATGTGTTTTTGTAAATTACCATCTAAGATTGCAAGAGTTAAGGTCCTAGGTGTGTTGTGTTGGGTATTCAGCTCATGTGTGTTCGTGGAAGAAACAGGTTTACACTAGGATTCTTCTGATCTGGTTAACGTCCCAGTTTTTAATCCTTATGCGTTCACTTTCCTTTTCCATTCATTAATTCCAAGGGATAAAAATAATCCCCCAAATAATTAATTCTATCTGAATTTTGTATGCATCTCTCCTTTTTAAACCACCAGGCTATTTCTTTGTTTGCCTTAATATGATGTTTCATTGTCAACTTTAGGAACAAGCATGCATACATGGGTCACAGTACAAATCTCCATTTTGAGGTTTATTTTCTTTGTACTCCTCATCTGGTGTTAAGATTGAATACTATACTTACAAGGAATTCTGATTTTACCCTTACATATTTTCACATACTTGCATTTCTATCCAAGAAACTTCAGTATTGTGTCATTAATAATTGTTTCTCCATTACTAATAAATGTTGGGAAATATTAATTTTTGTCTCTGTTTACTCTTACTAGTGTAAATTTGAATTACTATTTCTCTTTTTAATCTTTGTTTTTCAGTTTCTGTTTTTTACAATTTCTATGTGCACGAGAGCTTTTCTACCTGTGTGGACGTCCATTATATGTATACAGTGCCTACAAGGACCAGAAAACGACAACAGAGTTCTTGGAATTTGAGTTATGATGGATGTGAGTCATCTTGTGAGTGCTGGATACTGAAGCCAGGTTCTCTGCAAAAGCAGCAAATGCTCTTACCAATTCAACCATCTCTTCAGACCTTTCATTTTGTAATTTTAACTCACCACAGCATGGCCAGATGTCTAAATCCAGAGCTGTACAATATATCATCTGTTCCTGAATATACTTCCATTTCATTACTTCTGTGGCTACGTGACTGCTTTATCATATGTTAGTATAGTATTGAATATTAATTTGTGGCTTGAGGTTGCCTGCTGTTTCTTATTCATCTGTGCATTTATGTTATATGTAACTTATCAGTCACCAAGAACACATGTGATATACCCAAGGCTGAGCATAGACATCCCAAATTATTTCAAGTCTGAAAAGAAAATCTTACACGTGTCCAGCACCAAGACCATGCAACATTGAACCAATAAACATTGAATGAATCGATACGTGAGTGCTATTAAAGCTGTCTTTACAAAAACAATGAAGCCCCATGTACCTGGACATCTCCCCCAACACCTCCAACCATAGGGTCTTCTTCTAGAACTTTCACCATCTCCACAGATGAGGCAGGGTCAAGCATGGTGTCTGAATCACACACCTGCAAAGGAGAAAGCCAGAAATTACATAAAAAGGAATACGAATGATTGGCCCTCAGTCCCAGAGGAGCTTCCGTACTGTACTCTTGGCCTTTTTGTCACAAACCTGCTGTCAGAAGGGGTGACGAGTGTGACAGAGGATTCTGTTTATCAGGCCCCACATAGACAGGTTTGTATCGAGATCAATGTAGTGTGAGATAGGCTAGCTCAAATGGCCATTGAGCATGACTAAGGAGCCTGTGCCAGTTTGCTGACTAATCTCAGCTGTCCTTGAACTTGGTCTGTGATTGGATTTCTGCTGTTTCATCATGCTGTAGTAAGCCTCTATGAGGGGACCCTTGAGCTTCCTAGTCTTTAGAACTGAGAGCCAAAGAAACTTCATTACACTTGACCCAGTCTTAGGTATTTCTTGTTACAGCAGGCGAAATCATCTCAGATAAGAGCACTGCGACACTTATTTATGGGACATAGTACTCTTTTCTATTAAATGCAGTAAAGCCCTAACAAATGCAATTTGACCAGAGTGGTTGTGGAATGAACCACTGGACAGCCTGTTACAGTTTCTATGGGAAATGTCCTCCGTGATATTCTCTGTGCACTTGACATCTAGTTAGTGGCATTGGTTTGGAAGTTTGTGGAACCTTTAAGAGACGGAGCCTTGCTAGAATCCTGGGAGATGGAATTTTTAGACTGGTCTCTGTCCTCTCTACTTCCTGATCCACTAGGAGGGGAGCCAATAGCTGCAGCAAATTCTCATGATAACAGAGTCACCCACAGCCATGTCTGCCCATTCATGATGAATAAATATTCCTTCCAATTATGAGGCAAAGTAAATCCTCCCTTCCCTAATGTTTTATCCTGCATTCTGCTTTCTGCCAACAAGTTTGGCTCACCTCATAGTACTAACTAACAATTTATCCTATTTACAGTCATTGCAGTACAATGATCTTTTTGATCAAAGATGAGTGAGGTGTTGGCAGGTGAGCTCATCAGATTATATTATCCAGTAGCTTTGTAGCCATTTTAGTTTATATGAGTATACTTTACAATGTTTGCCCAGGTACAAAAGTCACCTAAAATGCATTTTCAGAGTATATTAACAATATCAAAAATCATATAACCATATTTATCTTCAAAATGGGCAATTTTTCAAAGTCTCCAAATTTCCTTGAAAATAATCAAAGAAAATAAATAAGTTATAGAAGCATGGAATCTCAGGAGCTAAAGACATTTATTATATGTAGTATGAACCACTCATCCTATTTCTAAGGAATCCCAACATTTTAAAAACTTATTTCTTTCAATTTTATTAATGGCTATTTTTCTGAAAAGATTCCTTGCTAATGAAGATTGCTGGAAACAGTTATTTGAATGCAGTATTGGAATTTATGGATTTAAATAATGTAGGCAATCTTATCACTTCAGATTTAAGTAATTACAATGAATTTGGACTTAATTTATGGATTTAAATGTTTTGTTGCTGTTATTTTACTAAGTGGAAGCACTCCTTTACAAATGAAAAGTCTGCCCATTATTCTTGTTGTGCTTATTTATGCTGTTGGGTTGATTTTTTTGAAAATTACATTTAGGATCAATATAGTCATTTATGTTGAAGAGGACAAAATAGGCTGACGAATGTCTTAGCTTTTCATTCTAGAACACAAGACTTCACTAACAGTTTTAAGCCTGAGTGTTCCAAGCCTGAGTAAGCTACAGAAAATCAACCAAAAAGTAACTTTGTCTCTCTCATGGCTTGTTTATTACAAGTTTTCCTAAGCCTACAGGCTGGGCTGCAGGTCTGGGCCGAGGGGACAGAGGTAAAGGCACAAGTCCAGCCCACCTTTAGACTCTAGCCTCCAAAGTTAAGGACACATCTACCTCTATTGACTTAAGTCAGGAATGGTAAACCAAAGGCTAAAATAAGCTTAAAACAACAGGAAGGGAGAAATCCAACAGTAATATTCAAATAACCCCGCCTGCATCTGAGCATGAGCAAGCAAGAGGAACCTCCACTTTGAAATGACTGAACTTGAACTGAATCTCTGAAGTTCATCATATTTAAATCGGCCCCTCCCATTTTGCAAACAGAACTCCAGACGGTCTCTGTGAGAGGCTGTTAGTATGGTGAGCTTAGCTATATCTGGCGGAAAAGTTCTCAGAAATCTCCCGGGAAGGGGTTTGTTATCATAGGATTTAAGAGCTTTAAAGAATTTCAGTGTCTGGATTCTGTGTAGTGACTCAATGCCAACCAGAAACCTGGCCTTTGCCAGTTGGAAAAAGCTTGTACGCTCAGGGGCACAAGAAGATTTACTTAATAAGATGTGACGAATACAGCTTTAGTCCTTATCATTCATCTAACAAGACATTGTGCCTAGTTTTCTCCTCACCAGTTAAGAACATGTACGGAACGAATTTTGGCTGCCTAGCTCAAGATTAGAACCTAGGACAGACATACAGCAGACATTTATGAGTCACTGAAACTCGCATCGAGAAAAGCTATAGGATGTGATCTGCACACAGGAGCCAGGGCACAGATCAAGTCTTTGTCCATGCTAGGGTATGACTGGGAACAGCTGAAGCACATAATTGTTAGTTAAGAGATTTCTCAGCAGCAGAGAACAGCAATGAAGAGGAATAACAACTTCTGAATAAAGTAAGGGGAATTAATGTTCCAATGTGCAACCCACTATTGGGGAGAATCAACCACCTCAGTTTAACCCTTGAAAGACCAATCCTCTCCTCTCTGTTTCTCACTCCCACCATTTCAGCCAAGAGTTAACAATGCCTCCTCTATCTCTCCTTAATATTAAGCTGGGATTGGTAAATTAGGGGCTTTAGATAAAGACCAACCTGCCACCTGTTTGTATGTTGCCAAAGGATTAAGATGACTTTATGTGTTTGAATTTGAAAAGAAGGATATTTTGTCATGTACGTAAATTAGATGAAATTCAAATTTCACTGCCCGCGGTATCCAGCCACGCTTGTTCGTGTACCTGTTATCTTCCACTGTGTTCACACTGCAATAAGGTCAAACAGTTGCAAAACATAATATTTATGCTCCAGTGTTTTACAAGCAATGCTTGCCAACCTTGGGCTTAAAGTAAGTGGCTGCATGAAAAGGCTCTGCTTTCGCAAAAGTAACAGCAACACTGAGATGAGATGTTTTAAATCCCAGTTTTACTTAATGCAGGCTTTTCATAGGTTCTGTTCTTCTCCATATGCTACAAAGAATGGTGACTCGTATAGCAGAGAATATAAACTACTATAGAGATTTTCTATAGTCAAGACTGTCTACTCTAAGAACAAACGTTTGCAGAACCAAGAAACCTAAATTCCTGAGTCTTGTATCTTACTAGTGCATGGCTTTGACCTTATCACAATCACAGTACATTAGGAAGAGCATGAATCCATAAACTCTGCATGTACTGTAAAGCAGTGTATGCCATTAGTATAATGTAGTAAGTAATCCTTAAAAGATTTACTTCTTAAGGGAACCCAAACCTAAAATATCTTTGCTCTGTGGAGAGTGTTCAATATAGAGAAGCATGAAAAGAGACACAAGACTTGATTACATGTAGAAGATCTCTTATGTAAATAGACTGTAGTTTATCTACAACAGCTGGGAACCTCAGGACAATCTAATGGAGCTCCTCACAAGAATGCTTGCCCACCAAATGCCTTTCATATTCTAAGACCCAAGTCTAAAGGCAAAGTCTCTATGTTTCACTCGGACTTTTAAACAGGTCTTTCCTTTCAGCTCCACTAATGGATCTCCTCTGTAGTTCATATTCCATCTCAAAGAGTAGTGTAAACCCAGCACATCAAGCGGAAATCTGAAATTGCTGTAGTTAACTTTCATGAGGAATAAAAGTTGAAAAGAAATCAAGACCTCTTCTGGTGTTTGCTTTTCCAATTCAAGTCTTTCTTGATCTTGACCCTTCATCTCAACCTTGAACCTCCATTTTAATCTTGACTCTTCATCTTAACCTTGACTTTTCATTTAAACTTTGAGACAATTCAACTATTTCTAGAGTGTGTGGAATTGGGTTTTGGTTCCTGTTACAAAGTAATGACAAAGTAAATGGAAATTTTGCTCCTTTATCCCAACCAATAGAAAAAGACAACAGCAAAAACCCCTCACAGATGGCTAAAAATGAGGAGACAGAAGATGGCGCCACTCTCCCTGAACTCCTCTAATGATTCG